CTGGCGCTTGCTGGACACTCTGGGACGTCCTGAAGACTTCTTCACTGCAGTCGAACCTCTCTCCTTGAAGTTCTTGATGATCCGGTAAATGGTTCTTTCAGGTGCAATATTCTTTGTAGCAATTTCCTTGCATGTGAGGCCATTTTGATGCAAAGCGATGATGGCTTCACGTGTTTCTTTGGAGGTAACCGTTGCTAAAAAGAACACAATGATTGGAAGCGCTTTGTCCCTCCTTTTATAGCAATCAGTCTGACTAGTACTAGTACTAGTACTAGTACTAAACTGACTAGTACTCATTCACACTTTCACATGTGCTGCCGATATGATTAGTCAATTAATGTTAGCTGGTCATTTTGTGTCAGGATCAAAAAACAGTGAAATTTGTTTTTTTTTTGTGAAAAGTTCTCTCTTTTTTTGGCCAATTAAGCTTTTAGCAATTATTTAAAATGCATCTGCTCATTTTCTTCAGTGTAATCAGATAGATAGATAGATAGATCGATAGATAGATAGATAGATAGATACTGTAGGTAGGTAGGTATTTGGAAAAATGCCTCACTGTTTTTGTACATGAAATGACAATCAATGGGGTCCAGTGTTGATTTGGGCTAGTGTTGTTATTGTTAACTAAAGCTAATAGAGTTTTCATTCATTAAAATTAAGGTGAAAAAAAAAAATATTAGATAGAAAACTTAAACTTAAAAAAAACTTGAATGAAAATTAGAAGTGATGCTATTGCAACTAACTGAAATAAAATAATTTTACCTTAATAAAAAATGAAGGTAATTCAAATATTAATAAAACTATAATAGTATTTAAATAATTTTTAAATAATAGTTTGGACTACATTGATAAAAACAGTTGAAACATTTTTCAAAATATCTTTGCTTTCCATGGAAGAAAGTTATATAGGTTTGGAATTGACATGAGGTAAATGACAATTTTCATTTTCGCATGAACTATTCTTTAAACAAGTCATTCAGCAACTGTGAATTTCTAGTGCCACCAATCATATGTAAATGTGGCTGTTACTGAGTAACTCTTATCAAATAAAATTCTCAAAACATAATTAGGCAGTCAGAAGAATGATAATCATATTTACTGTATGTCTATTGTATTGTCAGAATAAAGGTTAATAGAAATGGCCATAATACTACTTTAATGATGATGAATCATCATTTACTTCCTGTGGGCAATGTTAGAGCCAAAGTGAATGCTGGTTTTTTATTCACACGTCCTTGTATTAAAGCATAATTTGAGTTGGTATGTGCTTGTCTAAGGCAAAAGACACATGTGACGATTATGCACACAGAGGACCAGAGAGTTCAGTCAGCCCTTTTAATTCATCATCGTCAGTGATGACTCCGTCCCCTGCAGCTCAACCCGCTAATCCTGTGACCGAAGGTAAGTATGTCCAATAAAAATCTCAATGATACTTAACAACAGACCCTTTAAAACCATCACACTCATAACAGCAGCATTTTTGTGATTACTAAGGATCAGTCTGCATGATTTTTAAGGTCTTTGCGGTCAGCTAGACTGGTAATGTATGTCTTGTCTTGTGTGCATTGTGCATGCGGCCCTTAAGTTAAAATACTTTTGTTATGTCCTACCTGGTCTTGTGCTTGCATTGCTCTGTACAACAACAGTCTCTTTCCTCCACAGATGACACTAAACTTCTCTTTCACCACAATGGCAATGGTGAGTCAGTTAATGGCTTTGTGCTTCTTGGCTGTTACTCCTTCATGATGAGTATATTGCAGCACTTCTGGAGTCTGAAATCCAGTGGAAAGAGTTTGGCATGATCACAGATTTTATAGAGAAGCTTTTTCATCTAATCCTGTAACTCACTATGTAAGGATATTTAAATTGCTTCTTATCTCACTGCATCCCTCCACCATTCCAACACCTTTATTTCTGTTCTTTTTTTTCTAATATTTATTATTATAATAGTGACTAAAAATTCACAGAAATCCAATCCAATCTTGAACTAGATTAATTAGATTTTTCATACCTCCACTGGCAGTTTTCTTTTAGCAATTATTTAAAATGCATCTGCTCATTCTACACAATAATCTAGAAACAATGTAAATGAACACCACAACAGCTTAAGCAGCAAACTTTGCAAAACACAAAATTTATGTCACTGCAAAACCTTTGGCCATGACTGGACATCTCTTATTTCAAAAACTATAAAAAAATTTTTTTGAACAGTAGTATATATCGCAATACTGGTTGACTATCTTATCAGTACTGAAATATGTATTTTAGTTTATTAGAAAATTTCAGTCAGTTAAATTGAGAATTAACCTCTCTTTGGTGCTCCAGGTGACATATTTGTGGTGCAGTGGGACAACGTGAGGCTGAAAGATCGAGAGACTGAAGGAGCTTTCACCTTCCAGACTGTTCTCTGTCATAACGGGACCATTGTTTTCAGCTACAAAGACGTAAGTCAGGTTCTGCAGTTTAACCAAGATCAATTCAGCACACATATAGCCAGCTGTTGAAATGCTGAGTATTACTATGAAAATGTAATCACCACTTAGAGTTGTTTTCATCAAAACATTGTGAAATAAATTGCTCACAGCCCCATTACCATTGCATATCAAATTTACAAAAGAAGAGTGAATATGATATTGATAGTGTCCAGTTTCCTTCTTTTGACTTTTCATAACAGGTTCCTTTGCCTGTGGAGAAAATCAACTCCACTGAGCATCCAGTGAAAGTGGGACTCTCTGATGCCTTCATGGCTCTTTTGTCTTCTCCACAGTCTCCAGGTCAATTGAGACCTTTAATTTATGGTACATTTACACTGTTATCCTTTTAACCAATACTTTATTGATGTGTCATCAACAGGTGCTAAACGGCAGACTATTTATGAGTACCATCGGGTGGAGATTGACACAACAAAGATTGTCAATATCTCAGCATTTGAGTTTACCCCCTTACCAAGTGAGTAAATCAATCACAGCTTGCCCTTCTCTTCTTTACAACAATCACAATTGCTCACATTGAAAACAAATATTCATGAATTTGACTATTTACAGATTTGCACCCTGACATTAGACATTATATCCTGTTTTATGCTAGCCTGCCTCCAGCACAATTCCTGTGAACAATGTATCCAGTCCAACCTGACATCAGGCTGTGGGTGGTGCAATACTCTACAAAGGTAGCAGCGTTAGATCTGAGTATCTGCTGTGTGTTTCTGCAGAATTCAGGTAAGGCATTTGTTCTCTCTTGACAGCTGAATGTATGCATCAATAATCTTTCAGGTGTTCGACTGGAATAGACCGATACAGGCAAGAATGGCTGGACTACAGTTGCTCTGAGGAGGTATGGACAACGAGTCACCAAATATGCATAAAGATGGTACTCAACCAGAATGAGCTTTTTACTGCTGTGGGTACTGCTGCTGCCGCATCTGCAAAATCCAGTTGCAGTCTTTGACGGCTCAGTGGCGCTTTAACCATAGACTTTGACAAGTTATCAGACAAACGCTCCAACGTGCAGTTTCATGAGTAGCAGTCAGCTTTGCCTTGCCTATGGACTAGATTTGTCAGCTGCAGTCGGCTAATAATCTAAGAAAAAAACTAAGGTTAAAAAAAAATTAATATTCACAGAAGCAAATTACTAACTTATTTGTGTTTGTTATTTAGAATGAAATGAGAGCAGCGCACTTTATCCATCTCACTCCACAATAATAAAAATAATCATATATAAAACTCGACAAGTGATCACGCTGCATTTGATGTGGAAAACCGTAGAATTGACTTTTGGATAATAGCATAATTTTTGTTCATGGGGAAACCCCAACACCACATAAAAAGTCTTAAAATTATTAATTA